ATCCGAACCTCTAACAGTGATACAAAACTCTTTACAATTAACTAGCCTCTTGAGAACCACTGGCCTCACTATGATATTCATTTATGATTCTTTAGGAAACGATTAAAGGGAAATCCCAATTTTCACCATGATTTAATTCAATTATCTGGGTGTGATTCAAAACGGCAGTGGAATGCAGATGGTAAAAAGATTAAAAAAAAGAAGAAAAAAAAGATTTTTGAATTTTTCCATTTAAAAATATTTATTTTGGTCAAACACTGAGCACACTTTACTGAATGATGTTAAAACCAATTGATTTAATCAATGTAATCAGATCACCACTATCAGATTTTGGAGAGTTATGTTTTCTATTGCAGGGCTCCAGACAAATAATTAGCTTAAGGAGCCACTGTCTCCGAAAAGGAAAAAAAACAGGGCGCTAATAACTTTAAATGCCAAATAATAACAAGCTTTTGAAAACACACCTCAGGTCAGCTCTGTGATTTAAGTATCTCTGCCTTCACGGTGTCTGATTATCATTCGTTTTCAACACATTCCGTCTGTTTCTTTCATTAACAACATTTGTGAGGGTAGTTCTTCACATGCTGTCATGTAGGCTGTGTTGAATTTCATTTTAAGCTTGTTGAATTCTTTCTCGGCTGTTTTTTCCGTAGGAGCACTATTTGCGATATTGAAATCATGCACGTTTTATGTGTTCGACTCTCACCATGTTTTTTCACCAAGTCTTTTTTGAAAGGGTTTTGTTCCTGTTGAGAAATCCATTTTTCCATCTACATCTTGGCTTGCTTTCGAACAGGACTTGCAATATAGTCTGCTTTATGTTATCATACCTGAGCCAGGGAAATCCCTGAAGCCAAGGGGTTCTGAAATGTCCTTCCACGGTTGTATTTTTGCATGAAGTGCTTGAAGTGGACAGCTGATGAAGAACATCTTTATGTGCATCTCACACTAGTTCACTGGTACTGAGTCAGACTGGGGTTGAGCACATGACCTCTTAAGGTCTGACAAAGACAAAGATTGTGTGAAAAAAATCGGCTATTTTTGCCATTTTCTACACGCCGATGTTCACTGCGAAAAGCTCAGCTCGGCTCATCCGCTTGTTCACATTTTGCCACTCTGCTTGATATTCTGCCAGCACGCAGGCGTTTTTTTGATAGGCTATAGCATCACATGGACACCTCCGCCTATCAGTTACGGTTTAAGATGAAGAATGATAAAAGAAAATACATAAAAACACAGTAATAAATACAGAAAAATAGTAATAAACAGTTACCCATGGAAAATAATCATAATCCAAAGTTGCTACCTGTCGTCACTGGCGAGTTAATTAATTTTATTACTCACAAACTAATAACTGCAACCATTTTAGCCGCAGTCATAGCTCTCCAACACATTGCTGACCACATCCAGTCTTTCCAACTAGATTAATAATGAATGTGGCCAAGACAAAAGGAACTAAAGAACAACGACATATAGCAGGAATACACATTAAATATCCAATCACGGACCACTCCTGAGAAATATTTCACACAATCACTGGGTGAAGAATGTGAGGAATGAAGCAGGTAAACTAGCTGCCATCGGCACATGAACAGCATTCGGTCATCCGGCAGCCTCTGAGCTCTCGTCCACTCAGGAGAACAGAGGCAACTTCCCCCCCTCAGCGACAAGCTGCCAGGGTGATATAGAGGGAGCAGCTGGGGAGAACGCTGGATGAGAGGAAGAGACAGAGATAAACTAAGGCAGCACAATGCACAAAGCGCAAAAAAAATCCCAACAATCCAGCCTCGAAAGATTGCAACAATACTTCGCTAATGCTGCCGCTCACGCAGCTTAAAGCGCAACTGATCAAAACACTCTGGCTGTGGCGCGGGGCTGTCAGAGAGGGGAACCCGCTTTCACAGCTGTGAAATTCTTTATTTCAGCAAATAAAGCTCTGGCGTTTTGCGAGCGCTCGCCACAGAAGCTCTTAAGTAAACGACCATTAGAGAGGTGCACGATAGATTAACTGCATAACAGTGAATGGTGCTTAAAAATACTAGAGCACTTGCTCAGAACAAAAGCAGAAATGATTCATAGCACGCTCCACAGATCAAATTCAAGTGATTAAAGAACAAAACTGAAAACGGATTCTCATCTTCTTTTGAACGAGTTTCAGGATTGTATTTTGCATGTCAAGGGATTAATTACAATAATGAACCTTATTTCGCACTTGATTCCAAAGCCACAGTCACCTTCCCATTTACAGTCTTGCAAAATGTAATACCCCTGTGCATGAGAATATTTTTTTTAAGGAAAAGCTTGTTTATTGGAGACTAGTATTCAAACAGAAAAAGACCCAATGTCCTACTGATTACAAAACCAGAGCAAGATAATTAATTCTTCCACACTCAAATAATATCCAAAACATAAACTACATGACTACAACATGTTACAGGCCCCTGACCGAATGCTTGAGGTTGGACAGAGAGGCTAGGCCATTAATGAGGACACATGTCACTGCCACACACTCGCAAATCAGGGAATCGGAAAAGAAAGTCAGCAGAGCACATGTGTCAGTCAAAACCAAATACATGACTTGTTGACGCTTTAAAATAGAATCAGCAGAATACAAGACCATAAATGGACACACACAGCCTTTCACTTTCTGATGCAGCAACACATATGGTCAGCTCACCTGTGTGTCATCAGATTCACCACTTTCTCTTAGCATGAGTCATGAGGTCAACAGAATAGCATTTAGTCCAATCTTAGTGCTACCAGTGCACCAATTAATACAGTGACACAAAAGACAAAAACCTCGAAAACGAAAACGTTCAAACCTTGCATTTAAGGGAAACTCCATCGATGTCAGAATTTCTGCATAATCAATGGGACATAAAGTAGTTGAAGTGGTTTTAGAAAAACGTACCGACTCAGACTAATTTACAGTGGTGGTGATAGGAAGCAGGGGTCACGATGTCTACAACACAACAACAGCCATTTTACTTACTATCAAAACACCAGTGAGTCTATACAAGCCTTCTGAGTTTCATATGTAATGTTGAGTTTTATATGAATATTAATGCATTTTAGTAGGTTTTAGGCATCAGAATCATCACAAGTATCACAAAACAGCGTATCAGGCATCAGTCCATGTATTCATAAGTATTTCATAATAACTGTGAGGCAGCTCTTAGAGGCATTAAACACTTTGGACCCCTGCTTCCTAGTACCAACGCTAAGAACAATTCAGACCCTGTATCTCTTTCTAAACGCTACATATTAAAAGGTAAGACAAAAATCCTGCAAACAGTGGGTTCATTCCAAACAACTTTTGGCTGTAAAAGAAACGCAGGTAACATAGTAAGAGGTATCTTTCATTAGGTACTTAGAAAAATACAACATTGATATTATGTATAACGTTTTAATATTTGGAAGTGAGTGAAAAAAAAATATACTTTGCTGGCATCTTCATTCCTACAATTGCCCAAAATAAATGAATCTGCGCTTATAACCTGTAAACACTGTAATGGCACAAATATGTTCAATTTCAGTTCAGCAGCTTTTAAGCACTCATTTGTGTAGAGATAAGTTTATAGTTTCAAAAGGACTGTACAATAGTCAGGCTGTAATTAAAACAGCCTACTGTAAGAGGCTCTTTGACTCTATGTAAATATTATCAAACAGCCGTGCACAACAGTATTAGACTCCTGGGTCTTGATCTGACTGCCGTTAAGTTTCTCTTCCCCGCTGTTCTGCTCATAAAAGATGTAACGTAGCAGATGCGAAAGGAATGAAAGGATTTTTTCAGGCATTCTCATATCCTCTATTCTGGAGCACTTCATATTTTTACTATTATCTTTTCTTGCATCTGGAACTTATTTGAAGTACAGTGGTCCTCTACACCATCCTAAAAGTGAGCTGCAGTATTTTTCTGCAACATTTAAGATTTACCTACTGCAGTCCAAAGCTGTTGAGTCTAATTCTCATATTAATGTAGGCCCAACTCTTGTGAAAACTCCTCAATGTGTAAAGTAACTACAAAGCTGTAACTGCTTTACAGTTTTATGATGAAACGCATTAAAAATATTTGATATTTGTTAATGTGTCATGGGAAAATAGCAATGAAAAATTATAAATATTATTCATTAATAATCCATGCAATGATAAAAATCAGACATAAAGTGTTTTAAATGTGGTTTTCAGACAACAATTTACAAATAGTAAACAAACAGCACATTTAATTTTCTTCCAAGGACAGAACTTGAGGCTATTTACACTTATTCCTTTAAGAAAATGAGGACTGAAGGATATTTGTGTTTTCTGATGATTATTTTTCTGTATTACTTTTAATTCAATGCTTATTTTTCATTTTCTTACTTCGTGCCAGCACTAGTAGCAAATATTTACTACTAACTCCAGGAAACTAAATTATCGTTAAATGCTGGCGTTCTTGGTGCGATTTCAAAGGCAATAGTAATGTATTACAGAATTAATGCATACGACAATCACAATATCATAAAAAATAAAACATGAACAGCTTTTTATTATTAGACAAACAACACACTGATGTGCTACTATTAAAGGTCTGCATTAAAAATAGAACCAGAAACGTCCTGTGAAAAAAGGATTTAGCCTGTGTAAAGAGCATTAAACAGAAATCATGATAAATTGGAGGAAGTGTGTGGAGTGGGAAATCTCAGTCCTACTAGAAGCAGATACGGGGAAACGGTGAAATCGATTTTTTGGCATGAACATGCTGCATCACTCACAGAATCCATCCATCAACCTTTAATTCTTTTGTGCTGGCCCTGGATACAGGCATCTGGGGCCAGCACAAAGCTTTCAAAAACCACACAGCACTGAGTATTTCAATTATTTGCGCTAAACAGAAGTGATGAACCACGTGTACGCATGTATGCATGTGTGTAAAGCCTCCAGGAAAGCGGCAACAAGTGGTTTAATTTCATGTGTTTCAAAACGCACTGTAAGAAATTCTAAAGATAAATGTCTCTTACCTCTGGAGGTGCTCAAGAGGAGCTGCTGTTCCAGAATCCACATGGCCTGTTCCTGGATATTTGTGTTTCGTCTGCCCATTCTCAAAAACGCTCTTGTCCCAAGCTTGTTTCATGCTATAAAGTCGCTCTCCACCTGTAAAGCAGAAAACTCCAACAAAACACAGCCAGGCCCAGAGAAAGCTGCTTGGTTTTCGTGTACAGCGGCTGGGCGAAACAGAATCCTGCTGGCTCGCTGTCTATCTTCTATGACAGGCCGATCAGTGGGGGAAGCTGGCGGCTAAAGTCTGCCTCAGCTGCCCGCTGAGTCTGGCCAACAGCAGCAATGGCAGGGACTGCCTTTCCGCCTTGTCCGCCTGTCCACCTAAACTGTAAAAAAAAAAAATCTCAAATAAAACAAATGGGAAAAGGCACCAAAGAGACTCTTCAAAGGAGATGGTTTCAAAGTGAGACACAAACTAAGAGGATATGACAGGAAGCAAGAGCTGAAAGGCAATAGACCAATTGGGAGCTCTAGACAGGACGGGGGTCGAGCCCACACTTCTCCCCCTCCCCTCTGCCCCTCTCTCCCACTCTCTCTCACCAGCCCCCAGTCCCAGGACAGAGCAGGCGTGAGGAATGCCGTAAGTCACTCCGCTAGGTTCTGGATTAATTTAGCAGCTGTATTCTTTAGTGCTGGTCCCTTGAACACAGCAGCAGATCACTCACACTGGTGTCCACATTAAGCGGACTTCTTTCATTAGAAGTACGAGCAAGGTAGACGTGGTGGACAGAGGAAGTATACACAGAGCTGCACTGATGAATTTTCCAAACTGAAAGGCTCGTTTAGAAAACTGTTAATCTGGGGCACGAAGCTGTGACTGGCACCCGGTTATTACCGTTCATACACAGGGTCCAGATCACTGCAGCCAAAATAACAATGGTGGCTTCCCTTAAATAATACTGCTAAGCCTGCTGCTGGCAGCATTATGATAGCACTAAAGCTTTGTCTGAACTCCACAATAACTTGTCTTCACACCAAACTATTTTACAACAATGTAATGCACCATTATTGCGATATCGAACAGCACGTTAAAGGGGAATTCCACAGATTTTTCAAATTGTCTGCATAAGTAAATGGTTAGGACGTAAACAGCGTCATTCAGAGTGGTTTGATGTAAGGTGCTCCGTTTTAGAGAAAATTACAGCAGTCAAGATAGGAACCAGACATCTAAAGTATTCAATACCTCTAAAACAGGGGTGCCAAATCCAACCAGCAAAGGGGCCGAATTAAAAATCTCACCCAATCTGTGGGCCAAAGAAAACTACAGAAAATACTAACAACAAGATGTAAAACTCAAAACGTGAGCTCATCAGATGCTTCACCCTCGGATGTGATTCCTGCTGTCACTGATCTACAGAGGCTGTTGTTGAAAGAGACGAATGAGGATCAAAACTATTAATCAAACTTTATTTACAGCTGTACAGAAGTGCTTTTCTGAACAAAACCCACTCTTCTCCACTGCAAGCTACCTGATTCAAGGTAACTATTGTAGCATAGCCAGCTAATGCACTTCACTGAAAATCAGCTGGATTTTAATGATTTCATTTTTAAGGTACAATGCACTCATTTACACTAACAACTACTTAATTCTATGTAGGTTACTCATTGCAGGTATCGGACTTATTAGCTATCAGTGAGTCTGAAAAAACTGGTATCAATTCATCCCTAGTTAGGAATATGCCTGATGCTTGAGATTTCGTTTTATGACAGCTCTGGGATTTTGGTCTAAAATGTATTTTTTAAAATCTGTTTAAGGCAGAGAAGTGTTGTTAGGCAAAATAGTCCCCACATTCTTTTCAAATTTACCACTACTTTACCATTCTCAACGTTATATACAGTAACATCAAATAACATCTGTAGGCTCACTTATCATTTTGGAAATAAAATGGCTAAATAAAACGTACACGAAACAGCTATATTTGTGTTGTAGACACTGTGACATCTGGCACCACCGCTGTAAACCAATCCAAATTCAAACTGGTAAGTTTTACTACAATGAGCCGTTTCAAATCAAACTACTCTGAATCCATTTGTTTACATTTCAACAATTCAAACTCAGTGGGATCCCTCTTCGTGGCTGATGCTAAAGGCTAAAACTGTCCTAAAATTCACTCACTCATCATCTTTAATCGCTTAATCCAGCTGGGGTTGCGGTTGTACTAAAATCTAGTTAAAAATATATATCTTGCTAGAAAAACCAGCATGTCTGTCCAATATGTCCGCAAAGCTGTCCAGCGCTTAAAAAGGCAAATCTTCAATATACTAAGTAGCTCAGAACAGCAGTTCCGAACATAGTCAAGTTCTCTAAGTGGGGACAGGTCAGATTCACTATGTAATTCACTGTATCAACACATCATCTGCTTAAATGACTGATGGTGAAAGTTCAAAAAACATCTGACAAATTCATCGCTGACAAGCACCCTGACCAACGCACACACGTGTGAGAGCGAGAGTATTTTTGGCCTGGGAGAAACGGGATACCGTTTAAGTGAAGGCCCTATAATCAGCTACAAGCTGCGGACAAAATCTACCTTTGCCACTGGAATTTCCAATTAAAGAAAGGAAAGACATCTGACATCATGACAACGCACCATAAACAAATGTAGGCAGAATGTTCCATAGACAGAGCCTGGTTTACCAAAATGCTTTACACAAGATTGTTATTAAAATGAAACGTATTGTTACATCTTGTCAGTATAAGTGCTGGGTAATATATATATTATTTATACTAGTATACCATGATAATGACATACTGTCACATTCCTGTCTCATTTTAACAGTATTTTTGGTGATCCACTCTTAACAAAAAGACTTCTTGTTCCTAAAGTGTGCATTACTTTTAACAACATCAAAACCATTGTTGGTGTAATAGAGAACCATTTTTAAAAGTTCCTTGAAAGAACAGGTTTTTCATTATAGAGAAGGAACATTTAAGCTTGTAAAGAACCATTTATGCATTCAAATCACGGTTCCATATATCACCATTGCCTTTGCTAAAGAACCTTCGAAGAACCCTTTTTAAGGCTGTACAGTCGTATGCAAATGTTTCAACACCCCTGGTAAAAAATCTTCTGCTTGATAATTTCTACATGTCTATGTTGATTTGTATTTATTTGCTGAGCTTAACAAATTGGGAAAAAACATAAAATACTAAATGTGCAATAACTTTTGCATGAGTTTGTTTTATTTCTTTTCCCCCAAAGTGTTTAATTCAGCAAACAAACTGTAGTTATGTATTAACACCCGTTCTCTGTAGAGAATGTGTGAATTTATTTTCACTTACAAAATCAACAGAACTCGTAATCTGAACAGGGGGTGTCGAATCTGGACACCAGATAATGAGCTCCATGATTCTCATAGTAACCAGACCCTGACAGTTAACCGCAATGTATGTAATTTACTGGGTGCTTCAAATTGTTCAAAAAAAAATTGTTCAAACTGTTTATAAATTATTTTGGATTGCTTTAACATTTACAGTATTGTATATGGTTCCATTTGTTGTAATTGTCAGAGATTAAAATGCAACTGTATAACAGTTCAACCAAAATAGAGAAGAAAAAAAACATTCTTTCAGCATACAGTAGTAGCATTAACTATCATTTGCTTTATTACTGAAACATTAAATATGTAGTTACACCATTGTACATTCTGAAAACACTATGATACTGAATTGTATATACATATATATTGCTCAAAATTACTTATTATAGTCCAAAATATGAAAATATTTTTTATATTTGTAATACTTTATTTTGTATGGGACGTTTTAGTGCTTTACATTTTTTCTTGTCTCTTTCTGACCGAATAACATTTAACACACGGCTGCCTCAATGTGAACCTGTGAGAGCTGAACCATCTCACTGTTTCACATTAGCACTCGGGGTCATTAGACCTGTGTGAAGTCACGAGGGCGCCCCTTTACACAAGATCGTTTTTCCAGAATATGTTCTAAGTGCAGCTGGGAATGCCATTCAGGGAGAAGCTGCCCTAGACGGACGACCGGGTGAGACGCACATGCTTAGCCATTTTGTGCCTATCAATGTCGGGATAGTTTATGATTTTTCAAGATGGCTGATGGCGAAGACGACAATGTATATTAAATATTGATCGCACGCTGTGTACAATTTTAATCCAATAGGGTGTAGGGCAAATGACTGAAATCATAAATTGAGGGTTTTTTCTTATTCTAATTCTGACTTTCGACCTCTTCTACGTATTTATCTACCTGTGTGCTCTCTGCGTTTCTGTGCATCAGGGAGCCAGTCGCTGCTTTTTTCCTTTTTTTTTGCTTTAGACGTACGGTTGCTCCAATAATCCCTCGTGATTTGCATTTTATGCAAAGTATTGAAAATAGGCACCAAAGTTTTTGAGACTTTTCAGTACTCAGTAGTACCGAGACGTTTCGGTTGGTGCCTTTTTGGCATCGAATTTCGGTACCCGGCCCTACAGCTAGCACAACCCACCACAGGGCAATAAATCTGAGGAATGCAGCGATACAGACGAAACAAATTGCACCACATCCAATTAGTATGTGTCAAGATCAGATTTTGTCCCATTGGGCAGATTTTATGATGTACATTCGATGACAATAACAGGAATAATTTCCATCAAACTTTCTGCACCATGCTGTTCTCTGGCCTAATTGAGCTTGTGGGTTTTATGTACATCTTGTGATATTCTACAGCAATAAGCCAAAAGATGCCGTGCACTGTGTTTTTCCCACAACACAAGCATCACAGTGAAATCACATTAATATATAATGCAACTGATGGGCGCGGTGAAATGCACACATCAAGTACTTTATTATTTTTTATTCCATGTCCCTAAAAACACAAAGTAAAATAAAAGTTCGAACGAAAAATAAGATATAAATATGATAAAACACGGGTTTAAAACGCTGATTAGATCTGTCTGGGAACTGTGTGGGAGTGGCTAATGAGCAGCTTGATCGACAGCTCTCTGTCCAACAGCAGACAGACAGACAAACGAACTGCTTTGCTGACAGACGGACAAGCGAACGAAGCAATGTGTAAAAATTTTTTTGTGTGGGTGGGGCAATAGATATCAGCCTTGTGATTGGTCAGGGGAACGCTTACGAAAGCATTACCCAAGATTAGGATCGCTCAGTTTACATCAAGAGGAGAGAAACATGGTGAATATATCAGTCAGTTATTGGTCATTGAACCCCTATATACTTGGTACATCTTTACTCTTTACTAGCAAAAAACAAAATGAACCTAATTAGAAAGAGAACACAGATTTAGATTCCCTGGTCTTTCAGTAAACATGTGGTGCCAAACATGTAAAAAAGGGAAAAAGCAGAACTTTATGAAGAGCTTTTTAAGGTGCAATTCATTACAATTATCACACACAGCTGGACATTTCAACTTGTCCTATCAGCTGCTCTCTTGGTAAAAGGAAAACCTGAACAGCGAGTGGTGCTTAGGTTCATTTCACTTGATGATTAACTATCATTTGCATTCTGTTTATATTTTTAATAATCGCTGAT